GCTGCCCCTGTGCCGGAGCTCCCAGGGCACAAACAGAGGGGACAAGGGCTGCCCCGCTGCCCTGCAAGGCGGGACATCCAGCGCGCAGGCTCAAGTGCGTGGCCTTATGCCACGGGCACTGGCATGTGGCCGCCAGGACCTCTCAGGGACAAGGTGCCTCAGAGATAACAGCATTTGCAAGGCCTTTCCTATCCTTACACCCCTAATATTCCCTTTTGAGCTATTTATAAATTTAAGAAGTTTCTTTTATCTTAAAAAAGGATTCAGGATGGCAGCATAGGTGTCACAACTGTAGTAATTACTCAGTGTATCCCCGCCACCATCCAAATGAAAGTTTAAATGAGACCTTTACCTTATAGTCCTGTGTTTGGTCGGTGACAGAGGGGCAGATGAGTGACGACTGCAGAGCGGCCTCCTCGGAGGGGCTGCCGGGTGAGGATTAAAGCAAAGGCAGCAGCAGCAGCATCGCGTAGAGCAGTTCTTCCCCAGCAGGAACAGGGTTCCCGTTCAGGACTGGAATCGCTAAGAAAAACGGGAGGACATGGAACCAGAAGGGACATCCTGGGGTGCATCCAGTCCGGCACCGCTGCAGGTGTTATATCCTAGAACTGAGCTCAGAAACTTAGCAAGCTTCCTTCTAAAAAGAGGCAAATTCACCTCCCCCAAGTACATATTTACATTATTTTAAACTAACAACATCTTCTAAGAGCACTCCAGAAAATAAGAACAAGCCTTTCTCAATTACATGCTTTGACAGACTGATGCTGAGTGAAGTCCATGATAATTAACTCTAGTTTAAGTTACTTGATAAACACAGGAGAAATTTAAGTTGTGTGTGACATGGAGCATCCAAAAATAAATCATCACACACTTAAAAACAATGTTGAATTTAGGAAGTAAAACTTACTTTTTGCAAAGAAGTCAGCTTTTAAGAAACAGAAGACAGTAGAGGAAAAGTTAAAAGGGATAGTTTTATTTGAACTCTGTCCAAGTAAGATATTTAGCTATTTATAATAAGAACCTGAACATTTACAATTTGGAAAGTTTGTTCTTGGTTACAAATGCAGAATTCATTATACATATTCACACAATTGTAAAGGCAATCTGTACAGAGAGACCACTTATAAAAATCTAGTATTCACTTTTGTAACTGATGAATGCTCAAGAAAGCATGTCTTCAGAGGTCTCGAGCAAATGCAATGTCCATTACAGCTTTAAACTAGGAATAAATGATGCAGTACTGATTAATACAATTTTTACATATTAAAACAATATATAAGTAATACTGTTAATAATGCCTTCACTTTTAAAGCAGTTGTTCCCCCCCAAAAATGAGTACATAAAACACTTTCCATGGCACATACACGATTAAAAATTGCAAAGAGTTTGCAAATAAAGGTGTTAAGTACACTTTTTGTATTTTATATATATATATATATATATTTAAAGGTGATACATTTTACAGGAATTTAGGCCATAGTGTTTTGTATAAAACACCATATACGTACATTCAGAAAAAATATTTTTTTGCAAGACATGCAAACTGCACACACACATGCGAGTAGCCCCTACTCTTACAAACAGTCAGTGAAGCGGGGCAACCACTCACATAAATAAGGGACACTTGCGTAACGTGGCAGAGGATTAAGCCTTATTTCCTAAAGTGTATAAATAAGTCAGATCTTCATTTAAATTTTAAACACCAACAGTTACAGTTCTTCAAAATAGGCAACCTCAGGAATTACACCTCAATGTTAGAATACAGGCCAGTTTTAAAAGATTGGTATAGCCAAATAAATGAACACAACAGAGCAGGTACCTTTCTTTCAGGTTTGATTATCAGCTTTAACTGAGGTATTTTGTGCTGAACCATCTTCTTATTGAATATATTTTTTTGTTAAGATACTGAAAAAGAACGGCAAATAATTTGTTATGAATTTTTCTACAAAGCTTCATGCCATCTGTGAAGCCAGCCAACAAACACACCAGGACTCCAATTCTCTTTCCAGCTAATGGCATTTTTACCTCTTTGCCTGATTTGGAAATTCAGCGAGTAATATGAGTGCTTAGCATTTTGCAAAACCAGGACTTTTTTTTTTTTTTTTTTAATTCAATTGCAGAAATGCAGATTTGATAGGCATCTGCTCCATATAAAACACCCTTTTAAAAGTTGAGCATACAATTCGTGTTTAACAGCACATAAACAAGCAGCAAACACTATTGGTGTCACTTGCTGAGAAATGCATTTCAGACACGTGAGACATCTCCATTTTAACAATTCCTTTTCATTAATATCTGCATTACAGACAAAACCACACACACACAAAAAGCCGCTAGCCATTAAACTAAGCAACGACAAGGCAGTTCCTACCAGGACCGAGTGATTTCTGTGTCCTAAGACACAGAAAACCCACAAGTGCTCATGTGCTTCTCACTCCGCTCCTGCCAGTCATGCCACCTCTTGGGCATTCCGAACTCAGTTTTCCATCCTTCCTGTGCTTCCCCCAGGGTCTCCACAGTAGCATGGAGGCCTACAAGTTATTAAGTCTTTCTGCCACTCGTTTTCATCACTTACTCAGTTGCAGTAGTCGGGCATCTTTTTTGTTATGTCACCTAGCGATGCACAGATATTTAGGAAAGACACAGTGGTTCCACTGGAAACAGGCAAACACTAGCAGAGGTGGCTTTTAGCTTACAAAATAAACTATAGTCAAGGAAGATAGTCTGAGATTTTACTTACCGGTTTACTACAGTGAGCAACAGATTCCCCAAAATGAAGCTATGAAGTATTTCAGACTGTACTTGGCACTGGTAGCTGGGCAGGGACACCATTAAAAGACAGAAGACTCCAAAAACTAACAACTCCAAAAAAGAGTTGGTCGCGCCATGAACAGAGTGACCACATGTTACTCTCTTCCTTATTTGCTATAACTTTTTTTTTTTAATCGCTGTTGTAAAAGATTTCAAGCAATGCTTACTCTTAATAAATGCAGTTCTGCAAAGCTGCCAAGGGCAGTACCTCCAAAGGCGGCGCGTCCCATTGACTGCCTTGCTAGCTGATGTGTCTTAGGCCTCTCAAAAAGCTACCCCGATACCTCATCTCTCACTTGGAAAATCCTCTAGGCTTCCACTACTGGAAGCCTAGCTGGGCTACCAAGCAAAACAAAGCAAATACCAAGGAAATCTCCCTGCGGGCTTCGAGCGAGGTGAAACAGCACTGAGGTTTTACTCCATCCTCGGACACGTGAGACCCTGGGACTAACTCTAGCTCTGATAGCACAAGTTGGAACCAACTTCACTCATCAGAATTGGACCGGATACATACAGCACTTGTCTCAGAGAAGTGCTTTTGGAAAACTTCCAGGGTTCTTCAGCATTTTTAGCATTTGTTATTACTAGTATTTTAGAGCCTCTTCATGTAAACCCGGTGTCTGCAAAGAAAATAATTTGAAACTTCCTCTCTCTACAGTTTCAAGTGGAAACTTGGCTCATAACAGCTAGATTTTGTTCAACACCATAAACTTACTGTCTGGATAACAACTGGACTAAGAAAAAGAAATTAGACTATGCTGGCCTTGCCACAGGAAAAATACAAGATCTAGGGGGATGGAAAGTTAAAGTTTCTATTTAGGCCTCCCTGTTCTACAAAGAACCGTTCAAAATGCAAAAGATTCACCCTGTGTGTCCTGCCAGTTAGGTGGCAGGGAAAAATAAAAGTTTATTTTCCCTTCTGCCGTAAAATTAGTTTTTAAAAATAAAATTAGTAAGATGTCCTCTAGAGGGCAGCATTAAACAGGCATTCAGTGGCCACACAGCCTCATCCCAATTACTGACCTTACCGGGTGATGGGACACACTGACATTGAGCAAGGATGGTTATTTGTCTTTACAGCAAAACCAGGGGTGTTTCAAGCATCACAGCAAACCAGGGAAAGCTTAATTTGAGCTACACATTATGAAAGGGAGGCCAATCTTTTCCATTCTAGCCCAAAAGCCCCCACACAGCAAAAAATTCCCCTGTGCTTTCGGAGCTGTGGGCCGGCCACCCAGGAACACCCGCGGACCCAAATCTTGCTGGTGTGAAATGGTTTGCAGCTATTATAGTCAAGACAGTTGTGCACAGTGTCACCAGCTGATGTTTGACACCGAGTTGCCACTTTGGGAGAAAAAAGTAACCAGCTAGAAAAACTGGCTTTCCAGCATGAAAGCTTTGGCCATAATAAACATACAACTTCCTATGTAATGGATTATTATAATAGTCTTTAAAACCCTAGCTAATGACTTAGGCTGTTCTCCATGGAATACACTTAATAAATGTATCACCTTGGATATCACTCAGCCACTCCATCATTACACAAGATGGCCCCAACTGCTGAAACCTCACACACATTTCCCTGCTTTGCTTAATTTCACATGCTAAATGTATTAAATGACAAAACATAAGCACCTCCTCAAATATTTCATGTTTTGGTTTCCTCACAAAAAGAAAACACACCAGAAGGTCTCTGCATTTTATCACGAGAAGAAACATTTTTAAATACACGAGGAAAATCCCGATGGAAATAAATTCATCATTATATACACAGAAAGCGTTAGAATAAGTGTATACAAGACAGACAACTCTCCTTCATAAAGCTAAAGCATGTGGGAATGTCTATTAAAAAGCTAAGTAAAATGGCAGTGCGTTAAGGCTTGGAGACATTTTCAGTCTGGAATGAGGCTGTGTTTTCTGTGCCACTCGTTTCATAACGCACAGAAATATGGCCAAGAGCTAGATCAGCTGCAGAACTATGTCCTCTGCCCCTCGACCACAGCACTGGGCTCCTGCTCCGGCAAACCCGGTGCTCCCAGGGCGCTACCGGCACTACGATGGAATTAAAACCGGGGGAATATCCCATTTATATATAAAAGATATACCATTTATTTCCCCCCAAACGCATTCCCGCCGCAGCAACAATGCTACCTTTGCACGGCCGAAGCACAGCAGTCCCTGAGCAACCAGGGCAGACACGGGCAGGATGTGCTGGGTGCGAACCCCTCTGTAGGGGTTTGGGCTCAACGTGGGAGCTTTGCTCCAACAAGTCATCGGGCTGCACTATGTCAGGAGGAGGATGTTGTAATAACTGGAAAGTGGCTTTTTTTGGCTATGATTTTGAACAGAACAAGTTGGGTTTTAAGCAAGTGGCTTGTCCTCTGCTGCTAGGAAGCAGACACGGTTATCTGAGCATAAGGGAAATTGCCCTGCTCTTAACAGTCGGTCAAATTACACCAATGACATTTTTTTCTGTTTTATAAACAAGAAAACAAAGATAAACATGAATTTGGCCGTGCTCTAGATTTCTCCAAGACCAATAACTTAAGTGTTTTAACCAAAATCCTTGTTTATTGATGAACTCGCAAAGCTAACATAAAGAATCTCAGGGATCAACATAAATCAGTTGCTTGGTCTCAGATTGACCTGTATTTCCTAAGCATTAGCAGCCTGCTTGTCAGTCAGCTTTATTGCTGCTGACATCTGGTGGTAGCAATTAGCTGCATTTCTGAATTCCCGTAAAACAAATTTACATTCCCTCAAGCTGGAAGAATAGAGAGGGATTTTTCTGGGGAGAAAAATAAAAGTGCTTTGTAAAGGCTGAGATACGTACTGAGTTTTGAGTAAGGCAGCTAGTAGTTTTGGAAATAAAATTGTTCTTCATGAACTATTTGCAAATTCAAAGTATTCAAAAAGCCCCGTATAAACATTTTCACATGGAAGAGGAAAATAATCAACTGATCTGGCATGAATTTGCTGAGCAAAGAAAATCGTTTTAACTCTTCCCAGTGAGATTACAACTGTCCTGAAACAGTTTATCACTTAACGACCTTATCTTTTAAATGTGTGTTTGGAAAGCACACAGAAATCTAAGCAGATTTTTTCTTAGACCCCATATGAAAGGGGCACTTACAGTGCTACAGCTTGTCAGTCTGCATTAAATGATGGATAAGGACACTGAGGGCAGAATCGACAGACTTGTCCTGCAGATCACGACTGCAATCCCCGGCCTGGGGACTCGGCCTCACCTGGGGCTCTCCGTGCACAGGCTTCAATTCCTTTTGCCAAAGAGATCAGTGGACCAGGCTTACAACTAGCAGCTCCTTGAAGATCTACTAGTTAAACTCCTCACGGCTGAAGTGGCAATAGTTGCCACATGCTGCAGAATCCGTTTCTGCCAGCGTTTCTAATGGAAATGGAAGTGGCAGAAGTCCAGAGCAACTGCTGCACGTCAGCTGCAGCTTCGCACACAGACATCCAGACCGCGCTCCGCTCGCTCCGAGCGCGTAGGTCAATCTGTAGGTAACGCGCTAGACTCTGCATTCAGATTTAACCTGTGCAGGGGGCATCAATAAAAGCTTTGGCCAACAGAAACAGGTATCAGCCACCAAGTCCTCTGCTAGGACGAGGATTCCAGCCTTCCTCCTCAACTGGCATGGAAACCCCTTGAGTGGTCAGGCTGTGCCTTGGGAATGGGGCAGAAAAACCCCAGTGAAGAGGTTGGGTCAACGCAGAGGCCTCTCTCCCTCCGCTCAAGCAAACGCCCTGGGTTCTGTGGCAGCACGACTGTGTTGGGAGGGGGACGGCTGCCATGCAGAGCTGCTACAGCAATAGGTAAAGCACTGTTCTGGTATTCTGTATCAATGTTTTGCAGGCCTGGCAAGTGGTCACAGTTGATGCCTACAAGCACTGGATATTCCACAAGTTGAAGACGGAATACTGACTTGTTTACCTGAAGATAATAGGACTTCGGGGTATTTCCTCAGAGAAAATATAAATTTTAATATAATTTCATAAGCTTTGGAGGTTAGCTTGTCTTGTAGCTTCAGTGATATCAAACTTCTTCAAGTAGGAGCTAGATAGAAAGCTGTTTAGTTTTTGCCAGCGTATGTAAAACAAGACTTTTCTATCTGCATTGTAGATTGTTTGTGGACACTTCCAGATTCTTGTGCTTTTCTGCAGTCATTCTGGGGACTGACCTCTCATTGATACCAACAGAAGGTCCATGACCAGGACGAGTGCAGGATATTGAGTGTAGAGGCCCACAGTGTGGTTTGGAGTAGGGCATTGCTTTAGTTTGGAGATGACCTGGGGAGATGCGAAGATCAACTGTACATTAAGGGAACAATTACAGATCCTCTTCCCAGTGACATCAATGAGAGATTTGCCTTCAACCTTCCACAGAAGACAAATTGAGCTTTAATTTGGGACATTAAAGGGTTTTTTCAAAAGCACTAAAGCCAGCGGGAGCTTGATTTCCAACTGCTCCTTATGCCTTTAAAACCCCCCCACACCAAAAACGATAGCTAACATCATGAAATGGAAGTAAATAAAATGCATTTTCATTGCTGTTTGAGTTACATAATTCTTGTTTCTTGATTTGTTAGTTGATCTGCACAGACTTAACCTAAATGGTGACCAAGAATATGGTCAACGACTGTCAATAGCTGGTAAAGATGCAAAGTGCAGCCACAGAGCGAGCAGGGAGGTACACAACCTAAGCAGCTCCCAAAGAGCAGCCCGTAGCCATAGGTCTTTTATGTCCAATGCCCACTTCAGCATTGACCAGCAAAGAGCAAACACTCCCTGCCAGCAGGATCCAGCTCCAGGACACCTAGGACACAGCGCTGAGGCCTTCCCAACAGCAAACCCACCTCGGAGCACGTTGCTGCTGCTCGAGTACTGAGCAAGAAGTAACTTAGCGCGAGGTCAGGCTGCCCTTGGATCACATCCCTCCCCCAAATCCTCCAGCTGCCCCCAGAGACGCAGCGGAACAAGGACCTGAGGGAGGGTTCAGATCTACTCCGTATACAAAAAAAAAATGACTCCCATTCCCCTTCCTCTGCATTCTTTAAGGTCAGGCCACAACGATTTCTTTCACATTGGCTGGTTTGATGTCACGGAGCGGCTCTTAAATCCACTGCAGCCTCCTTCACTGAGCCTAGCAACTTGCATTTGGCTGAAGTATTTCCTCCAGAAATGATCTGTCAAATCAAAACGCCATTAAAGGGAATGGGGATCCAATCACTGGTCTGGTTGTCATTAATCAGCCTCACTATTAAAAATCCATGGCTTTTTTTTATTTCTCTGTAGCTTCAACTTCCAGCCAATGGATGGATCTTTATACATATTTCTCTGCTCAATATAAGAACTCGTTATATAAAGCATCTCCTCCCTCCAAAGGCATCCGATTGCCTCCTGATCTTCATTTTAAGCTGAACAGACTCCTTGTAAAGAATTTTCTTCCTCCATGAAATATTTTTTATGGCTCTTTCCTGCACAGTCTGTAATTTTTTCAGCATCTTTAAAATTTTTTAACAGTGGAAGAGTTTGCAATTTCTTTTGTTGGTCTCACTAATGCCATATGCAGAGATAGAAATCATAATCTTCCTTTTTATTCACTACTCTGCATGGGATGTTCCCGAGACCAGATAATTTAAAGAAAAAGACCAAAAAGAGTGGAGAAAGATGCAGAGGGGAGGAGTGTGCAGACAGTTAGGGAGTTTACAATTAAACCACGTAAACCAAGAAAGTCAAATACAAATGAACCCTACAAACCAGGAGCGTTAAATGCTCCACGCTGCAAAGCTTTGAGAACCTCAGGGGCAAGCAAAATTATTTGCTCTGTTGCCTAAGAAAAGGCTTCAGCAGAGCCCTCGCTATCCCGCAGCTCTCCTCACTGAAGGTACCGCTAGGTTTTGTGTTTTGGACTACTGCAGTTGAGATTTGCTAAGGAATTTGAGTTTTGCAGTAACAGAAAATTGGCAAATCTTCAGCCAGAGAAACTGTAGGGGGGCCCAGGGGTGTTTCCTCTCGAGATAACAGTTTCTGCTGATAGTATCAAATATCCACAGGTACTCACAACAGTTATTTTAACCAAAGGATCGCTGTTTCCACCATAGCCACGGCACGTAGCAAGGAACAGAGCTGGGCGTTATCTCCTCTGCAGGTTGAAAGTCCTTCTTTTCCTTGGCCAGGCGGCATAGAGCAGCCTCCGTCACGGCTCGGGCTGCCTCCTCTTTTCCTTTTTTATTTTCAGCCAGGTTGTTTCATCCTTCTGATGTGCAGGTGCAGACAGCTACAGAGTGCGGAGCCTCGGTAGGATGGGGGTCCTTTCTGCTCCCCGCCACAAGGCCAACGGGGCAGCACCACGTCCCGTGCTCGTCCACACGGCAACAGCAGCAGCGACTGCTCCTCATTCCCCGCTGCTGTCACTGGTACCGTGGTCAAATCCCGGTGTTTCCATGCAGATCTTATGGGTTTGGGGGCTTTACAATATTTTCCAAGTCCACAAACGACAGAATCCAGTATAAAAAAGGTCAATATATTACTGTTGAAGGGTTTTTTTGTTCCTTTTTTACACAAAAATTAGAAAGATCAAAATATATCACATTATTTACACACTGCTTCATGCTTAGAGATCACTGAAAAAGAACACATAGATAAAAAGCATTTTAATCAGAGAACTGCTCCATTACATTTACCAGTTTTCATGTTAATATTGTAAGGACCGATGCTCTTTTTGTTCCTTCGCACTAAAGGACATCCAAATGACTTTCCGCAGAATTAAAACCTTTTATATGCGAAGGGCGTGCTTACATTCTAGCTGAGGGTTTGCAAACAATTAGTAACATGCTGCTATTAACTTGAATTATGTCCATGGCCCATATGTTTGAAAGGGGGTTAGCAATTCCGTTCTGCTCCAGTGGCGCAGCCTTGTTGCAGAACGAGATTGCAGCAAAAACTGGGATTCAAAAGCTCATCTTTGGGAGGAGAATTGTCTAACGGCTCTCATGGAGCTGTCCGTGGCACCGGGCAGCCCCGCACTAGGACACTGGCCGTGCCGGGGACATTAGGAGAGACATTTCCATGTCCCCAACCATGCAGGCCTAGGTTTGTAGGAAAGCCAGGGTGGAAATGTGTGTGTTTGGTAACTCTGTGACCAAAAAGAGGGTGATTGACTATACGAATCTCAGCTATAAGACAGCGTGAAGCGCAGTTGTCCGAGCGCGGCCTGCGGAGCCGCGCAGCCTCAGGCCCTAAACCACCCGGGCCAGAACACGGGGCCAGTCTGCGCCAGCCTGGGAACGACGCTGCTCCTGGCAGCATCAACCAGAAAGGATCTGTCAGGGTTGGCAAGTTCTGGGGGCGTTTTTCCCACTTCTTGGGCAGAAACCAGTCTACAACTGTGGGGAACACGATGCCAAACTAAAGGGCCTCCTCGCGAGGCACGACACTGTCTCCGTACAGTTTTGCTTAAAGCAAACGGAGCAGGACAAGCAGTCCCCATGCAGCCAAAATCGCTCTGCCTCCTCACGGATAAAGTTATTTTTACTGTACCTTATGCCAACATCCTGCTACTGGCAGTCCATCTGGTCCCTGCAAAAGTGAATTTTGACATTTAATTTCTGCTGACTTCAGTGTCACACCCCAAGGCCTGAGGTCCAGTCCTCACCACGATGAAAGACTCAGCAGCACAATTCAAAATAATTACCATGCAAAACCCGTGTACTTTATCTATGCAGAAACAAACAAAAAGGATACGCAGGCAATGTAATCTGTGTGTCAAGCGTAACGCAAAACTGAACACAGCCCAGGGTGAAAAAAAATAACCACACTTCCTTTCTTTAAACAAAAAAGAAAATGTAAACAAAAATTTGGAACCACAGCTAATTAATTTCATAATCTGCTTTAAAAGACTCTTTGCAATTAGGCATGTGCACTGAAAACGTGGTGTGGCAATGTACCTTTTGTTAATATGTGCATTTCAGACTGCGGGGGAATTAATTTTTCCTTTTTTTTTTAATGATATCCTGGTTGTGTTAAATTTGATTCTGCAGTGCTTAATTTCTTTGAGAAACCTTGAGTTGCTGAACTGATTGGAATAGGATCAGTTATGGACTATGCAAAGGGAGTAAGCGTGGAAATACTTGTCTTTTTTTTTTTTTTTTCCCTCATGGAGATACAAGAAAACATAAGAAAGCCAAGAGAGCTTTCCTAGCAGGAGGAAAACAGTGAAACGGAAGGAGACCCTTAGGAGCGGAATGGACTGTGTATGGCCAACTTGCATTCAAGAAACTTTAGAAGAAAACAGCTGAATTGCCTTTTTTGATATGGGATTTTTCTTTAAGGCTCTTGGATCTCTGATTTCCGAGTTCCCGCACGTACAGAGGAGCTGCCGAGCACGCGGGGGCTCTGCCCCGGCCCTCAGAGCCACCCGCAGCGCAGAAAACTGCTAGTGCAACTATAGGTCAAAACGCATTTTCTACATTTTTTACTGTAAATGTCAAGTCATCACATTTTTTGTATTCTGTATTGATTTTGTATGTAAAAAATAGCCTCTGCCCAATGAAACAGATGCGGGGAAGTAAGATTACCCTCCCTAGCTACTCTTAGTGCACCAAGTGAGTACACCAAGCCGTGTACCGAGTTCTTTTCACGTATTTCCCTGTAAGATAAACAGTAGCTAGGTACCCTACAACCTTTTCTGCTGCCACCAGTCAATATTTTGTTCTGTACCTATTAATAAAAAAAAAAAAAGTCCAACCTGTTTTCCTGTCAGAGTTGTCTGGGGGGCAAAGAGCAAAAGGGGCAACACTCCGGGTTTGCCCTGGGAAGATCCAGACCTCCCAACACGCTGCTGGGGGGATTTCCCTTTTCTCCCTTGCGTGCACTCAACATCCTTGTCTCAGCACTCACAAAACTGGCCACGTTTTTACCAGGTTTCACTCAAGCGACTCCAAAAGCGCTTTGCAAACAGCCCATGCTACGAACCAAAGGCAGCGGCGAGAGCGCAGCAACCGGGGAGGACGGGGACACTCGCACACGACACGCAACGAACCCCGGCGCCCGGAGACACGAAAAGTGCTTTATAACTAGTGCCCTGGCAGCTTTCTACAGGAGGAATCCCCTCCAGCTATTTACAGTGCAGGATAGGTAGGTTTTGTGCATTCTGTGGAGTTAGGATGGGAAATACTTGCTAAACACGACATCCTCGGGGAGCTCCTAGGAAGAGCCGAAAAGGGCCTTCTGCTAATACTTGACTTCTTTGACACATATGAAAGCAATTTAACTTTTTGAAAAAGAGACAGCTCACTGCCCTTTTGTTTCTCTGAAGACGACTGCAAACCATCTAACACGCAGCATTTTCCGCGATTCGAGAGAGAGGGAAATAAAACAATGACCTCCTTTAGCTAGTCATGCAGCGTGAACCTTTCGGAAT